ACTGTTTCTCTGATATAGCGAAAATGAATTTCACTGGTCAGCCATATTGGAAATATTTGACAGTTTACCATTCTCATAGAAATTTCTCTAAAATCACAAATGTCAAATTTACATTTCTTACCTCTAAATACGTATTAATTTACTAATTTTTACATTTTATTAGTTATAATATAATAAATATAATTAATAGAATTTGAATATACGCTTTGAACATTAATTTAAAAATGTTTTCATTCAAGTGTTATTTTGAGGTTATGTTGTTTTCAAAAGGTAACGCAAGAAATATCATTTTCGCTATAGATCAGCGAAAATGGATTATCGATGGAGCCAAATCAGTGAAACTTATAGCTATTATAGTGATTGTTATCTCTACTTTAGTAGAACTTTTTTTAGCGTGTACTTTTACTAGATTAAGATTAACTATAGAGTCATAGTTAATAATACCATCGAGATTTTTTTCGGTGTAAACTACTAATTCAGATTTAGATAATTAAATAGTGAAATTTTAATAAAAATAAATTAAAATACTTTTCGTCAAAATTTTTAAAGAAAATAAAACATATAATAAACAATTTTGAACAAACGAAGAAGAATTTATTTTGAAAAAATATTATACTTAAATGTCATATAATGCCAAGAAAATAAATTTCAAAGTTACGCGTTTTTTTCGCCTAAACGATAATAATATTTTTCTTATCTCCTAGAAACTTGACATTCTAACCGCGACGGTGAAGTTTACAACGTTTATTATCAACGATTACAAAAAATAAAATATTTTTCTTGACAAAAATAATAAATTGTTTTGTTCAGAAATTTTTCTATTTTAAATTATTGATGAAAAAATTCACGAAAGTGTTTTTGTGCAAAAATATATGTAAAAATTTGGATAGAAAATATTTTTTCTTCTAAATCGTTGATTATTTGTGAACTTCACCAACGTTTCTAACCACACACAGAAGGGGCTGTTCAAAAAATACGTAACGCTTTAGGGGGGAGGGGGGGTCAAGCTATTTGTTACGGTCAGCAGAAAAAATGGCGCTAATGTATACAACATTGCGTTACATGGGGGAGGGAGGGTCCAAATTTCCGAAAAATAGCGTTACGTATTTTTTGAACGGCCCCTAATCTCACAGAATCACTTTTTTAATCGAATTTTTACATCAAAGAACAGCAGGTATTCAAGAATCCTGAACTTTCTATATAACCCGCGAGGAAAAATTTTAAATAGATTACCCTTGGATTAACTTAGTGCATTTGAACTTTTATAAATAAGTTTAAATTCCGTATTAAATTATTTGCAAGCATATTTCAAGGTTCAATTGAAATTACGGACCTTTAGATATGAAATACATTTTTTTTAAATAGATATAATGTAAAAGATATTTGAGAAGCTAATAAAAATCCTAATTAAAACTGTCAAGTTTTTATAGATAAAAGTCAGACGAATATAAATATAGAGAACCTAATGAATATATCTCTTTAAAGAGGTCACTTAAAAGAAACTTATTTTATTTTATAAAATAAATCTTAGATATACAAGTGTGCGCCTTATACCTCTCGAAAAGTTACTATATGTACTACGTTTTAATCTCACAAGGCAGATTTAACATTTCTTTAAAGTTTAAATGAAGCAAATTTTTTAAATTGATCTTATATTTGTGGTGAAATTATAAAATATTTCAACATTTCGATTTTAATTATATATATATATATATATATATATATATATATATATATATAAAACTTAGTCCTTTTTATGAATAAAAATAATAATAATAATAATAATAATCTGAATTAGTAGAAAGTTACTAATGAAATGACGAAAAGTCGTCCACCAAATACCTAATTTAGTAAAAATTTCACTAATAATTAGTGGAATTTTACTAATTGTTTAGTAGGATTCTACTAATAATTAGTAGAACTGTTTTATTAATAGTCGATAAAACTGTTCCACTAATTTATTTTCTGAAATAGATGACTATAGCAAATAGTCAAATTATTGTACTAAAAATTTAGTAAAATTTCACTACCAATTAGTAATATTCTACTAATTAAAAAGGGGAAAAGTCGTTCATAAAAACTATTAACAATTAGTAAAATTTTACTATTTCTTAGAAGAATTCTACCAATACAGATTTACAAAGTTTAGAACCCATGTTTGGATTGAAAATCTATATATAAGATGTAATGGAAAGAATAATTAAATTCTTATTTTTACTAAAAATTATTTGCTTTTCGTTCTTAAAAAAAATTCTCTTTTTGCGTCGACAAAAACGTTGGTAATTTCAGTTTCATGATTAATTAATTTTTATATACTTTATCCGAGGGGTTTCTCACTCATAAAATAATGTAAAATTTTGGTTCAGATCTTGTCATACTCGCTGTATCACTGCAGAAAAAAGCTTTTTCCCAGAACTTACAGTTTTTAAAATATCTTCCCGCTGTATTTACTTTAACAGCTAGTTAATTTTAATAATCTTAAACGCGCCTTGAATAAATTAAAATTAATTTCCTGTCAATAAACTTCTCATTGTTTTAAAATGTTCAAAAATTAAATTCTTTGTCTTTTTACCGAAAAGTATTTACAGTTTATATAGTGACGTGCTCTGAGAGAAGGTACTTAAGAAGCAAAGCATTTTTGGTTACATTTGCAAGTTTTTGTTACTATACACAAAAAGGAATTTTGTTTAATTAAACGTTGCAAATTATAGTGAAATTTTGTTGTTTAAAAATACGAAAATATATATGAGCCATTAGTTTTGAACATTCAAGTCAACGAAATATTTTGTATTAAAAATATTTTTATGAATTACTAAATGCAAGTAAAATTAAAAACTTAAATTTTACATTTAGAAACTTTATAATCATTCTTTTTTTTAAAACGCAAAGGGGACATTCAAGTATAATTACGTAAGCATATTTTTGAGGTTTTTAGACCCCCCCTCCCCCATCGTAAGATTTTTTACATGCATTAGCGCCATTTTTTCTAATGAAAGTAAGCAATAGCTAGTCCCCCCTTCCTTCCCCTTAAATGCTTACGTAATACTTGAATGGTCCCAAACTTATTGTAATGGAAATTCAATTGGAAGAAGAAATAAATACACTATTATTTGAATGTTCAGAACTTTAGAATCATGAAAATATCGGGTTCATTAATAATAAATAGATTCAATTCTAAGCAGTTTTTTTCCAGGACACTTTTAAAAAATTCCAGTTAGCCGAAAATTAAGTTTTATATACTTTTACATAAAATTTAAAAGACTGCACTAAAAATTTGTAAAATTTGAAACAAATGTGAATCTAAAAAATTTCAAAATTATCAAAGAGAGAAAAAGGGAAAAGTAAAAAACGTATAAACATTTAAAAATTCCATACATGACTTCCATGATTTACAGGTTCTGTAGGAACTGATATAATTAACGATGTAACTAAAATTTTCTTTATTTAAAGGCTAGTCTTTTAAATTTATTTTCTAAAATTATTCACCTAAAATGTAGACGTATACATTTTAACATTTGCATTCTATGAATACAAAATTGAAAATTATACTGTCAAAACATTAGAATTTTAATGCTGTATCCGTATAAGCTTAGAGAAATTTTCAATACAATATCTACACTCGATGTGAATATTAAAAAAAGAGAAGAATAAAATTACAAAATCACATTTTTTAACGAAAATATCTTTAGTTTTTATTTTCCCTATCTTAATGTCTTTCGAGCATCTTAAATAGCCATATGCTAGATATATAGATAACGACCAAAGGTCACTTGATGAATCAAAATATTTCCAAAACAAGCATTCATAATATAGATCTATTTTGAAAAACCGAACCATAGAGGAAGATAATAAGATAGTGGAAACTTGTAGCAAAAAAGGAAGAGAGAAATAAAAAATCCAGATACCTGTCGAACACTATTAGCCAACAGATTAGAAAGGTATCTTTAATAATGTCCATTTTATGTGTCACACTTTTAATGAGTCATTATATGCCATCTGAATGCCTACTGGTTATTTATTTTATGTTCATTTTTAGATGGAAATGTGTCATGATCTTACAATTCTTTAGCAGTTAATTGTACGCATATTGTGTATTTTACTTATATGAAGTTTGTTTGTCTTTTCATTTTCTTAATTACGGTAATTCATCTACATTATTATTGTAATAAATTCTCTTTTACTATGATATATAATTCTCCGTTTGTTGGTTTCATTCAAAAGGTTATTGGTCTGTTTGTTATGCAGAAGTTTTGAGTATTGAAGATATTCCATAGTTATATTCGTATTATGAAACCGATTAAAACAAATATGTCTAAAGTTTTAACGTTCAAATGAACACCGATATTTTCGTTACTAATTTTAATTCGTATTTTATTAAAAAATATTAATTCATGTATGAACAAAATTAATTGCTAACTAGGTAGATATTAAATTGACATTATTTTTTAATTCAGTACCTATAGTAATTTTTGAAAATATTTTTTGTCATTCTTTTGAAGGTTCAAAAGTTTAGTGAAATTTAAAATGCACTAAGCATCTGCTGATATTGTAATGTTATTATTATGAAACGATACTAATAATTAAATGCAAAAAAATATTTTCCGTAAATAAAAAAGATAATTACTATATTAAAGGAATTATAAGGATTTTTTTACAATATTTATAATCTACTCTCAAATAATAATGCAGAGTATTAAAATCTAAGATTCTGTAGGGGACTAGATTAATTTTTTAAATATTTAATTCTGTACTTGAACTAAATCAATTAATTAGTATTATTAAGTCCTTTTACAATCTTTAAAACTGCGAGTTACTCAAATTCAATAAAACAACGATAAACTGTTCTTAAATTAGATTTTCCCACAGATATTTCAAGATCAATGAACATGACTACGAAGACGAGAACGACATTAAAAGCAAGTTTCTTGAAGAGAAAAATCAATTTAAAACTTTTCAGCAAGTTAAGAGTAATATATTTTCATAAAAGAAAAGAAACTTACCGGTGTTGTATATGGCTGATGAGCAAGCTTGATCCCATCCTTACGAAGTTTATCCTGTAGCAACATTCTAAGTTGCATCCTTGGAATCCTGACAAGTTCAGCTTTACCCTCCTCGTATTCGTCGGCAAATTTCGTAAGTTCCTGGCCTCCACTGGAAGAGCTTGCTGTCGGTGATGCCCTTTGAATGTCTTTATCACTTGTTGGTCTTTCCGAGGACGTTCTCGAGGACTTGGAACTGGCATTGTCAAAGAGACAATCATTTGTCTCTTCTAAAGTAAAATAAACACTCGCGGCTCCTTCTTCTCTCAAGGTCTTCACGGAATGAAGAAGGCGAGCCCTGTGGGCTTGATTAAAGACGCCAATCGCGTCCAAATCAGGATCGCCGATCTGCTTACAGATTTCAAGGTCGTCATAGCCATTGTCGATAAAAGACTCGGAATATTGACCAAGATGAAGTGACCTAAGCCACTCCACGACAATATTACTCGCAATAGTCATTTTAGTTCTCTATTTTTCTCTTTCTTTTACGTTAGGTGTCTTTCAAATGTCACCATCCACTCGGCACTCCAAAAAACACCACAGAATAACTCCCTCAAGGCATAATAATAGGATCACATATACGTCACACGGTCACGATTCTTGCTTCAAGTTTAAGAAATCCCAACTCCTCGTCGTGTTCACTGATCAACGAGCGGCGAGACAAGTTCTCAGCTGAGCGCAGTCGTTGCCCACTCGACCTTGAAAGTTACTCTACTCTTTTTCCTGGAACAGACAGTCAGTCCTTTGCTTTAGGCCTCTTCTGTATGTATATAATCTTGTCTAAAAATTGGACATCTATCAGTTATTTTTGGCATTTATCGACTCGAGAAAACGGTTTAAAATTCACAATCACATTGGAAGAAATTTTTATTTATATTTTTCACTGGAGAAAAATAACGAGTTTGAAAATTGGAAAAATTTTCCCATTGACAATAAATCGTACACATACCAGCACTAGGAAATGACACCTGTCACAAGTATCGATGATGCAGAGAAAATTGGGGAAGACAGTACGTGACTTCCACGCGAAAATGATGTCGAACAGTCACCGCACATAAATCACGTTTACACCTTTTTCCTCCCTTAATATTACTATTTTCCAGGAGGAATGACACTGACGAACGTTGGTCGCTGGAATGCCGGTTCGGATAAAATCAAAACGAAAGAACAAAAAGAGATCTCCAGAGATTGTCAGGAGGAAAATAAAAGATTCTTTAAAAAAGGGCTGTCAACAAACACGAAAACTCATTTTAAAAGCGGTTGGTTCTAACCTCAAAAAGAAACTTGTAATGAAACAACGTGTACTGAAAACTTTTAAATGTGAAAAATAAGAAGTCACTTGCGTGACGCGAAACTAAATGGTGGGTCGCGTGCCACGAGAAAAGGCCGTTTACACTCAGTGAAACTTTTCGCGTGGCTCATAATCACGTCGGGAAAGTCATTTAAACAATAAAATATCGAGACACAACATGGAAACACTCCGTACTAGAACGCGGCGCACGGCTCGACTGGCACGAGTTGCCCACTAGAGGGAGCCACTCGCCCTCCGTTCCTCCCCACCATAGACTGTGCATCCCTATCCCTACCAGTGTGCGTTATATACACTCTCAAAGTGTTCTCAACCCCGTGACTAAGAACCAACTTTCAACATTGTAGTGAATGTAAGTGTATGCAATGTGCTCCTTCACTCACGGAATGTCTACGACCTGGGAGCAACAGCCGCAATGACAATCACCCTCGAGTTTACCATTCGCGCTTTGAATGACTCCGATCCCACTTGTATCCCGATCTGTGATCCCAAGATCGCACTCTGACACTAAGGATCTTTATTCCTCGTGTCTCTTACTTATCTTTCTTCGAATGAAAAAACAAACAACTAACGAGATTTTAAATCATCACTGCTGCGAACTCTATCCTCGTGATTATTTTACGACAATAAATATCACCATGTGGTTAGACATTTTTAAATTATAATTTAATACTTTGCATCAAGTCGATTGCACTTTCTTCTCTAAGTTATTATTTTTTGTTTATTTTTTCAGATTAAGAACAACTGAAAATTTTTCTGCATTTATTATTAATGAAAAGGAACAACTGATTACTTTTTTGCGTTTACTTTTATTTATTGTTGGAGGAACGAAACAACTGATAACTTTATGTAAAGTGATATTTATTACACTTGGTATAATTTATTCTTGAAAAAAGAGACAATTGGTAACTTTTCTGCACATAGATATACCTATTTATATTATATAATGTAACACGATAGTTACAATTCTATATTGTTTTATACTAAATAAAAATTAAATAATTAATAAATAATTAGTTGATTAAACAAATATATTTGAATATATTATAATTAATTATGTTTACAAATAAATCAACTACACGGAACTATAATAAACCTAATTTTTAAAACTTACAGTAAGCTTCTTTTGCAATCTTGCGGCAAACTTGAGGTGAAATGTTAAAGTAACCTTACAATTTAAAGTTAGGAAAGGTGGGACATTTTAACCTTACCGTAACTTTACAATGTAATATTGGTAACCTTACCATAAGGTTACTGCAACGTAACGTGCTATCTGGGAAGATTAAAAAATAATGATCGAAAATCTTGAAAATCCAAATAAGAATGTTTTTTGACACCTCTAAAAACACTTGACCGCCTTTGATTCCATGTTGAATTCATGAAACTAAACGAAAGTTCGTTAACATAAGTTGAATGTTAAGTACTATTCACAGTACCGATATCTTCATCTTAAGTTGAGTTCATAGCTTCAAATCGCTAGTGACCGACTTTACCCCAGTGTTTCTGTTTTCCAGAAAATATATTAATATTTTTAATCGGTTTATATTCATTTAAAAAAATCTGGACCGAACGTGTGCTTTAATCCTTACAAGAAAATAAATCATAAGTACATATGGGCAATTCCACGTGAGATTTCAGTCGACCTCTTAAAATCGGCCAAAAATATTTTTTTTCTATTCTGTATTGAAAAAAAACAGATACGTATTTTTTTATTATTTTTTTGGAGGCCAAATTTTTGAGTTATGAATTTTCAAAATTTTCGATTTTTAAATGTAGGTATATTTTTAATGTCAGATAACTAAAAAAATATTGCTTCTTTTCATTTTTTGACAATAGAAAAAAAGTTTTGTTTTTCTCTCTACTTTTGAATAATCATAACAAAAAAATTTTTTTTCCATTTTTTATTAAAAAAATAAAAAAATTTTATAAACAAATTAATTTTTTTTAACTTTGGGTATGATAAATTTTTAATTTTCTTTTTTTAAAACATACCTGGAAATGATAAGAAGGTTTTGCAAAAAGTTTCAGAGTGGGCCTAACAAGTTTGATGGGTCCAAAAAAATAATTAAGCTGTCCGTGCAGGTCGCACGCACGTGGCACAATGGGATTTTTTTACAATTTATTATTAAAAATTGTCTAGAGCCTACAAATTTTATCGGATTTTGATTATTATTGAATTTTAAGGCTCTAAACAATTTTTAATAATAAATTGTAAAAAAATCCCATTGTGCCACGTGCGTGCGACCTGCACGGAGAGCTTAATTATTTTTTTGGACCCATCAAACTTGTCAGGCCCACTCTGAAACTTTTTGCAAAACCTTCTTATCATTTCCAGGTATGTTTTAAAAAAAGAAAATTAAAAATTTATCATACCCAAAGTTAAAAAAAATTAATTTGTTTATAAAATTTTTTTATTTTTTTAATAAAAAATGAAAAAAAAATTTTTTGTTATGATTATTCAAAAGTAGAGAGAAAAACAAAACTTTTTTTCTATTGTCAAAAAATGAAAAGAAGCAATATTTTTTTAGTTATCTGACATTAAAAATATACCTACATTTAAAAAGCGAAAATTTTGAAAATTCATTAAAAAAAAAAAAAAAAAAATCGTATCCTTCCCCCCCAAAAATTAAAATTTATTTTTAATTTTGATTTTTTTTGGTCAAAGAATTTTTTTTTTTCAAAATGCTTATTTCCAATCGAAAGAGCATGAAAAAACCTTTCGAAACTGTACTCGGTCAAATTTCCATGTTTAATTGTTTAAGAGTAACAAATTTTCAAAGTAAACATTGCACCGTAAGACCCCTTGATCACTTGACGTGGAATCGCTCTTAAAAGTAATTTTGTTTATGTGAAGAAATATATAATATTTTACATAATTGTTATTTATTTTCCTCTAATAATGTTTGAGTTTCCTAATTTAATATTTTCTAGTATACACCGAAAAAAAAGCCTAGGACCCGTATACCAGGAATTGACTAGGTTTCCTAGTTACGAGAGGAGCCAACTATAGAATCCTGGTCAAAGTAATATAAGATTCAAGCATAGTTAAAGTGACCAGGAAAATTAGTCGATGTATAATCAGGAAAAAATAGTCAAATTGACTAGGAGAATAATATTAGATTTATACTGTGTATCATAATTATTTGAAATTGCTAATCAAATTCTTATTATCAAATAAAAGAGAAAAACTAATTAAAAGAAAAAAATTAATTATTGTATTTGAACATATTTATATTTGACTTTGTATTTATATATACACGGAGAGAAATCTGCTGCTAATATTACCCGAAAGAGCACATTACTTAAATTGCTTAACGTTTCTCTTATATTTTTAGCATCGATTCATATACTTATTGTAAAAATACTTTCAATGCAATAAGCATAAGAGACAGTAGCTAATTTTGCACGAAATCTTTATTATAAATACAAAGAGAACGTGCTGATTTTCAGGCGGACTTTATACAACACAATCTTACCTGTGTATACGCACATATAACTCACACACACATATATTTCTCTTTCTCTCTCTCTCTCTATATTTGATATTTCTTTGTCCTGTAAAACATTATTATATATTATATGTAGTATTTAATACTTGTTGCTGTTATAAAAAGATAATATTTATTTAATAGTAAGTATATTATTTAAAAATTATTGCAATTTTATTCGTGTTTGAATATATAAGCAACATGTGAAAATTGTTAGGTTATGTTATTGCAAACGTCACCGCTTTGTACGCGTTCCGTTCCTCGAAACCATCCAGAGAAATATATGTGTGTGTGAGTTATATGTGCGTATACGCAAGTAAGATTGTGTTGTATAAAGTCCGCCTGAAAATCAGTCGGAGTTCGAGCGATTCTTATAAGAAGAATCTAATACTTTTATAGCACGTTCTCTTTATATTTATAATAAAGATTTCGTGCAAAATTAGCAGCTGATTTTTGTTTTTATTGCATCGAACTCTCCATTACATTAAATAGATGATTTCGTATATAAATTATTATAACCTCAAGCTAAAATTCTATTCAGCAGTGACTAATAAAATTTGTAAAGATTCTGCAAGCAATAATAGCAACAGATTTCTCTCCGTGTACCTTAGAATTAATTTAAACTTATGAAATAAATATTTGACGCAGGGGGGACGCGAACACCTGAACCTAACGAATACGCACTTTGAAACCCGGAACGATAACCACTACACTAAACACGACTTGGTATTTTAATTTTTTAATAGACACTAGATTTTCGAGTCAAAATACAATACTTAATCAGATGATGTTTTATACATTTCGAGTACACAATTTTATACACTTGTCAAAAACTATTTATTTTTAATTATTTATGACATTCAAATGAAAATAAATTTAAATACACAAATTATTGCAAAGGTAAATTTTCAAACACACTGCGCGATTAAAATAGTAAAAATGTTGTCACCACGTGCGTAAAAATTTCGACGATTTATATTGAAACCTAACCAAAAAAGTCTGAAAGAATTGACTAATATAATTAAATAGTTTACTTTCTAAAACATGGACCATCTATATTTCCAGAGGTTCCGAGAAACCAGCAATTTTGATGTATGTAAGAACTCCATTTTATGTACAAAAAATAGACGCGAGTAATGATAAAAAATCGTTTTACGAAATCACGATGAATGACGCGAAAGATATAGAGGTAAACACTGTCAGAACAGAAGCAGACGCGTGCGCATTATGGAAATAGGCAAAATTACTAAAATCCTAGTCAATTTGACTAGGATTTGCAGGGTTGTTTTTGCCAGGCTTGAATTTTGTTGAATCAGCCTAGCGATCCTAACCATAATGATTAGGAATCCTTATTACTTTTACTAGATTAAGATTAACTATAGAGTCATAGTTAATAATACCATCGAGATTTTTTTCGGTGTACATATTATTGGTTAATTTATGATTTATTATATGTATAATTTTAAAATATCAAAAATTATATTATAAATTATAAATTAACCAATAATATGTACTAGAAAATATTAAATTAGGAAATTCAAATATTATTAGAGGAAAATAAATAACAAAATTAAGTAAACAAAAATATTTATTTAAATGAACCAAATACGTTTACTAAAACTATTTATTTGAATTAAACAAATCTTTTCTCTTAAAATAAACAAATTTTTTAGTTATATTAAATAAAAATTTTTGGTTAAGTGTAATAACCATTTGGTTAATACAAATAAACGTATTGGAAGAAATTATTTGGCTGAATCAAACAAACGTTTGGTTGACTGTATAGCAATGCATTTATTTGGTTGATTCAACCAAAATTTGGTTGTTTCGAACAAATTTTTTTCTGAGTGCAATTTATATTTTAATTTATTGTACGGGTTCATTTATTCTTTTATTTATTGAATCCCTTTTTTTTGTGTTTCATTTTTATAAAGTGT